ACATTCCACGCCCTTGCCACCCTTAGTGTTTCTTCTAAGTGCTGTTTAACATGAAGAAGTAATGATTCATCAGCTGACAGTGGGCAACATGTGGTAATCCACAGGAGGTTTCCTTGCCCATGTTTGACCTGATGCCAAGGGGTCCAGAGTCAATATTGAAGATTCCTAGGGCAGCTTCCACCATGCTGCCATCTCGGCTGCGTCTGTCCTGCTAGTGGGAGTCACCATGGATTTCTAAAAAGATAATTGTATTGAACTAACTTGCGGGAGTATTTTTGAACAGGTAACAGAGGGTTGATTAGAATAATGTTATTGACATAGTTTATGTGGATTCCAATGTATTTGATATGGTGCCACACAACAGACTAGTGTGGAAAGTTACAGATCATGATACAAAAGGATCAGTAGCAACATGGATATAAAATTGGCTGAATGATAAGAAACAGAGTAATAGTCCATTGATATCTTTTGAGCTGTAGGAATGTCTGCAGTGGAGTTCCCCAAGAGTCGGTATAGGGACTCTTGCTCTTCCTGATTTATAATAATGACTGGATCTTCGTGCGCAGGAGACAATTTCTAAGTTTGTTTCTAAACTTGGAAGAATTGTAAACTGTGAGGAGGACAGCCTGGAACTCCAAAAGGCCGTTGACAAGTTAGTGGAGTGGGTAGATAAGTGGAAGATGAGACTCAATGCAAAGAAGTATGAGATGATGCACTTTGGTCGGAAGAACACTGAAAGACAATATAAAATAGGGGTTACAATTCTAAAGGGGTACAGGAACTGAGGGACCTGGGCGTATATGTGCACAGATCATTGAAGGTTGCAGATAGGAAGAGAGTAGATCATAAAGCATACAGTGTTCTCAGCTTTATTAATAACTGCCCAGAGTACAATAGCAAGGAGGTCATGTTCAACTTGCACAAGACATTTGTTAGCCCCCCTTAGCTGCAACATTGTGTACAGTTCTGGGTGTCACATTATAGGAACAATATAAATGCACTGAAGAGAGTGCAGGAGTAGTTTACAAGAACGTTCCTAGGAATGAGAAATTTCAGTTATGAGGATAAGTTGAAGAAGTTGGGACTGTTTTCCTTGGAGAGAAGGCTGACAGGAGATGATGTTTTCAACATCATGAGCAAGCAGGACAGAATTGATACGGAGAAGCTGTTCCTGCTTGCAAAAAAAAGAAAAAAGAACAAGAGGGTGTATATTTAAAGTGAATGTGCAAACTAAGCAAGGATGATGTGCGAAAGACCATTTCCCTGCAGCAAGTAGCACAGGAATAGGGTAAGGTTATGGAACACACTACTTGGAAATGTGATGGAGGCAGGTTCAATTGAGGCTTTCAAGGAGGAATTAGATGATTATTTGGATAGAATCATAGAATCCCTACAGTGTGGAAGCAAGCCATTTGGCCCATCAAGTCCACACTGACCCTTCCAAGAGCATCCCACCCAGACCCAGCCCCCTACCCTATCCCTGTGACCTCACATTTACCATAGCTAATCCACCTAAGACTGCACATCCCTTGACATTATGGACAATTTAGCATGGCCAATCCACCTAAGATGCACATCTTTGGAAGTGGGAGGAAACCGGAGCACCCAAAGGAAACCCACGCAGACACGGGGAGAATGGAAACTCCACACACACAGTCAGCCAAGGCTGGAATCGAATCTGGCTCCCAGGCGCTGTGAGGCAGCAGTGCTAACCACTGTGATGGGAATGATTTTCAAGAATTTGGGGAAAAGGCAAAAGATTTGCACTAGGTAACAGTACCAGAGCATGCAGCATGGGCATAATGGCCTCCTTCTGTGCCATAACAATTCAGCGATGTTGATAGTGTTGTCTGGGAGGAATATAAGATTTGACTCCGTAAGGTTTATTGCATGCAAGGTATGATTCAGGTTGTTGCTCGACTACTTTGTGAGCCAGCTCTCCCAATTATAGCATTAGTCCCCAGGTATTAGTAAGGAGGACTGGTAAAGGATTAGTAAGGAGTTCGTCACTGTCATTTCCAGTGCCTTATTCGATGCCAAGTGGTCTGCCTCATTTCAATTTTGTTCGTCCTTTCAAGCAGTTGATGCAACTGAATGTTTTGCTGGACAATTTCAGAGGGCATTTAAGAGTCACATTGCTGTGGACCTGGAGTCACGTGTAGGTGTATACCAGATAAGGATAGCAGTTTCCTTCCATAAAGGGCATTAACGAACCAATCAACAATTGACAATCATTTGACTTTTAGTTCCAGATTTTTTTTTTTACTGATTTCAAATTTTAGCAGGATTCCCCACAGATTTCCTAAACATTACTTGGTGTCTCGATTACAAGTCCATTAACAATTCCACACGGCCATGACCTCCCATTTGCAATAGTGAGGAAGAAAGCTGTTGACTGCAAGATGATTTCAGTGAACTGGTCAGGTAGGCAGTAAAGTAATAGAGAAGTGTCTGACAATGCAATTCGGGAGGACCAGTGAGGGAAGGGAATAACAATAAATGGGAGGTTCCAAAGGATTATAGTGAAACTGACCATATCTCCAAATTAAGATGGTCAACAACACATGCTGGATACTTTCCTTTATTAGCTAGATCTTATCACTATTCACTTATGACAGAACATGATTAAACATTTTGGACCACAACAACAGAACTGCATATAAACTCTGGTCACTACATCACAGTTGTACATGACTGTATTCGAAAAGGTACAGAGATTTGTTAGGATGGTGCCAGGACTGAAAAACTTTAACTAATTCAGGCATAAAAAATTATGAAGGGTCTAGATGGAGCAGACGAGAATAACCTATTTCCACTATTAGGGACCACAGGTTTCAAGCAACTGCTGGAAAGAACAGGGTGGAGTTGAAGGCATTATTTTCACTAAAGGGTGGTGGGAATTTGGACTCTTTGACTGAAAAGGCAGTAGAAACAGAGGTCGATGCAGAAACACTTCTTGCATTTAACAAACATTTCGATATGCAGTTGAGATGTTGTAACATACAGGACTACAAACAACAGCTGGAAGATGGGGCTAGGCCGGACATAGTATTTCTCACTTTTACGCTTTCCAAGGTGTCCTTCTATCCTGTACCCTCTAGAAACTCCAGTTAGTCCAATGCTTTATTGCCTGTTTTCTGATCTGTACACTCATCAGTCTTCTAAATGACCTACACTGTCTTCACAAATCCTTCTACTTAGGATTCGCAAATCTGTGTTCAAACATCTTCATGGCCTTGTCCCTTTCTTTCTCTGTAATGTTTCCCAGCCCTGAGTCTGGACTCCTATGTATCCTCCGATCTTGTAGAATGCTTTCTGCTTTCTAGAACTGTTCACAGAATTGTTATGGTGCAGAAGAAAGCAATTCATTCTATCTTGTTTGCGATGGTTCTGCATTGCAGCATTGTGACTTAGTGCCATCCTCTGTCATTTGCCCATAACTTTGCACATTGTTTCTATTTAACAATCATCAAATACACTCACGAATGCCTTAAATAAATGTGTTTCCACTACTCTTTCAGGCAGATCCAAACTACTTGGTGTGAATTCTTTTTTTTTTAAAATCACATTTACTGTGCCCTCTCATTCTCGATTCTTTTACAAGTGAAAATAGTATTTCCCAAAGTACTTTGTCCAACTCGTTCATGTTTTTGAAAATTTGAGCATATCTTTCTTCCCCTTTCTTGATGTTGAAACAGGACATCCTTGGAATTCTGGGCTGATGGAGCGAAGGGTATAACATAGAACATAGAACATAGAACATAACAGCGCAGTACAGGCCCTTCAGCCCTCGATGTTGCGCCGACCTGTGAAACCAATCTGAAGCCCATCTAACCTAAACTATTCCATTATCATCCATATGTTTATCCAATGACCACTTAAATGCCCTTAAAGTGGGCGAGTCTACTATTTTTGCAGGCAGGGCATTCCACGCCCTTACTACTCTCTGAGTAAAGAACCTACCTCTGACGTCTGTCCTATATCTATCACCCCTCAATTTAAAGCTAGGTCCCCTCGTGCTAGCCATCACCATCCGAGGAAAACATCTCACCCTTTTCCATCCACCCTTCCCATGTGATAGAATAGAACACTCCCAGCCCCCTGTATCTCCTCCATATTGAGAGAAGGAAAGTCAACAGAAGGGAAATTAAGAGGGCTAAAAGGGGTCATGAAATATCTTTAGCAAACAGGGTTAAGGAAAATCCCAAAGCCTTTTATTCATACACAAGGAGCAAGAGGGTAACTAGAGAAAGGGTTGGCCCACTCAAGGACAAAGGAGGGAAGTTATGCGAGGAGTCAGAGAAAATGAGTGAGATTCTTAATGAGTACTTTGCGTCGGTGTCAAATCTACCTCTAGAAACAACCTTAAAAGTTGCTTAGAGACTTTCACCTTACAAGATCTTACAAGATTTGCCATTGAAACTCATTTTGGGTGAGGGCTTTCTTCAAAGCCAGTGATGAAGAGTAATCATTAGCTGTATAAATAACACATTCCTAGTAACAAAACCAGCGACCCCATTCTGAATGAGGCTACAGGTGACCTGACCTCTCAATCTCTATTTTCACATTGTGGTTTTACCGATGGGAACCCCTATTAATATTTACAAACAAAAAGGACTTCTGTGTTCACCTTATACGATTTTAGGCAAGATAGGTCCAAATTAAGGTGTCAGTTAAATGCCTCAAGTGTAGTACAGAGTAACTCCACCACTGAGTATGGCTAAGAGGTTCTCTGGCCTGATACCTTGCCCCATGATTATCAACCCTCAGGTAACAAGGATGCAGTGTGGAGAGAGAGAGAGAGAAATCTAATTAAAATAATGTTAGCTAGTTGTCTAACAAGAAAATCTGCACAAGAATGTCATTTTGAAAGGGGATGGTGAGGGAGGATGAAACTGCAGAATAATAAATTAGATCAATGTCCTCCCCAGTTATTTACACAAATTTCTGATTTCACATAATTCAAATTTGAAGTTTCAAACGTTTTTCTGTAACAGTACCTTGCCCTTTGATTCCAAATGGAGGAACAAAATCTTTGAGTTTCGACCAACGCCTATAGGTGTTATCGAGAAACATTGGTGCTGGTTTTGAGAATCTGTAATATAAAACAGAAGAAAAAGCTGCGACAATGATTAAATAATTTTTGAAGTGTTCTTCGCATTATTGCAACACTGCTTTTTAGGCTCTCCAGTCTCACTGCTGAAAGGTGACTCCAGCACAAAAGGACAAAAACTATAATCAATACAATGTATGATTAATACAAATGGTCAAATCAAACTCAGAGTTCAATACTGTCTGCTGGATTTGCCAATCAGACAACAGTGCAATATTTCAAAAAGTAATTAATAGCTTGTAAAGAAAGAACTTTGCACACCTTGAAAATGTAAGGTGTTACATAAATGCAAGTGTTTTCTTCTGAAGAAGGGTCTAGACCCGAAACGTCAGCTTTCCTGCTCCTCTGATGCTGCTTGGCCTGCTGTGTTGATCCAGCTCTACACCTTGATATCATAATCAATGCTGTTTCCTTCTCTGGTCAGGAATTGGAAAAAATTAATCGATTTAATTAATCTAATTTTTCAAACTTCTCTCATCTTCACCTGTTCTATCTCTGACTCTTCCTTCCTTGACGGGAAAGAGAATAAAGCAATACTCATGCCAAACCAACTGACTCCCACAGTTACTTTGACTACAATACCTCAACCCTGTTTCCTAGAAGGACTCCATTTCATTCCCCAGTTTCTCTATCTCTGTAGCATCTGTTCCAATAATACTAACATTTACAGGGGTGCCTTGACATGTCCTTCTATTTTCTCAAACATGGAATCCCCCCACCCAACAGTTGAGATGTTCCTCAGCTCAGTCAGACCTACTTCCCACATTTCTGCTCTCACCCTTTCTCCTGTGTCCCAGAGCAACAGGGGTTCCCTTGTCCTCACTTTCCACTCTCATATGCAAAGTATCATTCTCCCCCATTTCCGCCACCCATGGCAGGATGCCATCACCAAACACATCTACCCCTCCCCTCTCTTCTCAGAATGCCGCAGGGACTACTTCCAATCTGACACCTTAGTCCACTCCCACGTCACCCCAAGCACTCCCCTTTCCACTCCATCCCCAATGCAGTCATAGCAAGTGTTACACTTGCCTCTTCCCCCCTCACAGCCCAAGGCTCCAAACATATCTTCATGGTGGAGAAGCGATTTATTTCTTTCAATCTAGTCTGCTGTATTCACTACTTGCTGTGTCAGCTCCTCTACATCGGCAAGACTATATGCAGTTTGAGTATAGAGCTCTACCCAATCCTTAAGAACAACTCCAGCTTTTCAGTTTCTTGTTATTTTCCACCCTACGCCTGCTGCAGTGTTCCAGCAAAGCCCAACATAAGTAGGATGAACAGCACCTCATTTGCCTCATAAGCATCTTGAGCCTTCAGGATTCAGCATTGTGTTTAATAACTTTAGATCATGAATACAATCATCTGGTTTGATTACAATGCCTCCCACCTGCACCCACCACCCCCAGCAAAGTCCAATGTCGTGTATGCTGTCAGCAAACCAAGCTATTTTTGACTATCTGCAGTTATTAACATCTATTGTGCATTGGGATCACTCCTTTACTACCATTGCTACTCTTCTCTTTTGCTCCATGCACCCTCAACATCTATTCCACCAGCTTCTCTTCCCCTTTATCAGCAGTATAAATACTATCAGTTTCCAGCTCTACTAAGTTCCATAGAAGAATCGTGGGACTCAAAACATTAATTCTGTCTTTTTCGACAAATACTTCCAGACCTGCTGACTTTCTCCAGGACTTTCGGTTTTGATTATTGCTCAAACCAAATTGTACATGGAATTTAAAGCTACCAAAAATCCAGTGCTAACACAAAGCAATTCCACACTGAGTTTCCCAAGAGGGAAGACACTGTTTAGTTCTGCAGCCAAATTATAATCCATTCCAGATTTATACAAAATTATACACAATTCATTAATTTATACAAAAAAAGATTTAATGGGCTGAATATTCAAAGGAATGGCAATCACCATTGGATTATCACTCCACTCCTTTTAATTTATCTTGCCCCAGACTTCTGATTACGGCCTCTTGGGAAACATGGAGAATATCTGATCTGCAAGTTTTCCCACGGAATTTCCAGCCTCTCAACTGCTGTTGTTGCCACAATATTCAAACGGAAAACTGGAAAAGATGGTTTGGAAGATGAGTTTGTAATTCAGTTTGCTTTGTGGATTCATGTGTAATGGGACCAAGAGGTAAATCCATTTAGATCTAACAGTTTGCAATGAACCTTGGCTACTCAATAAAACCATGGTAAAAAAAGTTCTTCTGGGATATGGAATGACCAAAATGCAATTGAATTAAAATCAACATACTCCAATTAAAAAGAAAACTTTCAATAAAGACAATTACAAAAGTATGAGGCGAAAGCTGGTTAGAGTTGATTGGGTAAATACACCAAAAGCATGGACATAAAAAAAAAAGCAGGAAACCGTGATGATATTATGGCTTTAAGAGGCATATTTTGATTTTTTTTTGAAGAAAGGTTTGAAGACAGAGGTGCCAATCTGTAAATTTGAATCCAATAACGTAAATATTTGAGAGGCTATGGGTTTTTGAAACAATAGAAGTACCCTGAATGGGTGAGATCAAGCTACCACAGAACCAAGATTTGTAGCTTTTGATTTTAAGCAGCAGTTGCTGGGATCTTGAAGCTGGATTTGGAAGCTGCAGTACACCTCTTACCATTACTCCCTCTCTCTCTCTCAGTTTTCTCGATGTTTTTTCCTCCTGGAGTGGAGAATTGCCTGTGAGACAATCTATTTTACTAAATCTGCCTTTGCCAAGGGTGTGTTTATGGAACAGTCACTATTTACCAGTTAAATCGTCTTATTATTATGTTTCCAATGGAGTTAATTATTCCAATTTCTTCTTTATTTTGTTGTATTTTAACTACAGTATATGAATAAAGTTTGTTTTGCTTCAAATCTGGTAGTTTGACCAATCGATTTGCATGCAGAATGTAATGCCTGGCACTTGCCTTTAAAATAAGAAAAAGTTAGTGTCAAGGCTATTCTCTGAAGGCATTTTGAGGGTTTGGTCCGGTCCATAACAAAACATTTGAAAACAAATACAAAATGTTCAGCACAAAATACATCATCAAAAAACAAACACTCAGCAAAATCCATCTGCAGACGACTAAGGAGGCTAAGAATAAGATTAAATAAAGTGGCTTATAATGTGACAATTAAGGACACCTAATCATATGGGACAAAGAGACATTCAATACAGCAGGTTATCAAGCACAATCACGGGCCTTTAACTGAAACTAACAAATTAAAAGCACCCATATCACAGTTGTAAAACATGAATTTTTATTTCTGCAACAAAACCACACTCTAATGGTCTAATGAAGAAAGCTCTAGTTAGTACTGATACTAAATCAGGAAGACAAGGGAGTTATAAATTAAATTCCGATCAGGCGTTGAGTTATCTAATATCTTAGTGATTTGTGGGACAGTACAAGATGACTGATATAGCAAGTGGCAAGGCTATGGTGGCATTTGAAAATAAAGATAGGAATCTTTAAATCACAGCAAAACTGAGTGCCAATTTAGGCCAATGAGCATCAGAATTATGGGTATACAGGAATTGTGCAAATTAGTATGTGGGCAGCAACATCTTAGATTACCACAAGTTGCATGAAAGTAAAGTAGAGTCGCAGGTACATAGAACATAGAACAGTACAGCACAGTACAGGCCCTTCGGCCCATGATGTTGTGCCGAACTTTTACCCTAATCCTACGGTCTATCTAACCTCCACCCCTACCTTATACTATTATCCATATGCCTATCTAATGTCCGCTTAAATGCCCCGAATGAGGCCAACTCCACTACCCTCTCCAGCAATGCATTCCACGTCCCGACCGCTCTCTGATGAAAGAACCAACCTCGGACGTCTCCCCTATATCTACCTCCCCTCACTTTAAAACTATGCCCCCTCATAATAGCTACCTCCACCCGAGGAAAAAGTCTCTGGCTGTCCACTCTATCTATGTACCTCATTTTGTACACCTCTATCAAGTCACCTCTCATCCTTCGTCGTTCTAAAGAGAAAAGCCCTAGCTCTCTCAATCTTTCCTCGTAACACCTTCTCTCCATTCCAGGCAACATCCTGATAAATCTCCTCTGCACCTTTTCCAACGCTTCCACATCTTTCCTGTAATGAGGCGACCAGAACTGGACACAATACTCCAGATGTGGCCGAACCAGGCTTTTGTACAGATGGAGCATAACTTCACTAATCCCTCTATTAATGAAAGCTAACACACCACACGCCTTCTTAACAACTCTATCCACCTGGGTGGCAGCTTTCAGGGAACTGTGAACATGAACCCCAAGATCCCTCTGCTCCTCCACACTGTCAAGAATCTTTCCGTTAACCCTGTATTCTGCTTTCAAGTTTGTCCTTCCAAAATGAATCACCTCACACTTTTCAGGGTTAAACTCCATCTGCCACTTCTCTGCCCAGCTCTGCATTCTATCAATGTCCCTTTGTAACCTAGAACAGCCCTCCGCACTGTCCACAACGCCACCCACCTTCGTATCGTCCGCAAACTTGCTAATCCACCCTTCCACTCCTTCATCCAAATCAGTTACAAAAATCACAAACAGGAGAGGACCCAGGACAGATCCTTGTGGTACACCACTCTTAACTGAGCACCATGTTGAATATTTTCCGTCCATTACCACCCTTTGTCTTCTAAGGGTCAGCCAATTCTGAATCCAATCTGCCACATTTCCTCCTATCCCATGCCTCCTTACCTTCTGCATGAGCCTACCATGGGGAACATTATCAAACACCTTACTTAAATCCATGTATACTACATCCACTGCTCCACCTTCATCCATGTGTTTGGTCACCTCTTCAAAGTTTGTGAGGCATGATCTACCCCTCACAAATCCATGCGGACTACCACGAATCAAACTGTGCCTTTTCAAGTGATCATAAATCCTATCTCTCAGAGGCCTTTCCAATAATTTGCCCACCACTGATCTAAGACTAACTGGTCTGTAATTTCC